CCCCTCGCCCGGGCAGTGGCCGGCTGGTCTGTATGTGGGATCCGACCCCTCGGCGGGAGCCCCGCCATGCTCCCAAGCGGCGCACTGTAGCAGTGCGCCACCGGGCCAGCCCGGTCTTTGAAGAAATTTCTATCGTAGTCCTTCCCCCATTGTTTAACTGTGTTGTTTGTGTTTTTATTATTGAGTTGTAACAGTTCTTTATACATTCTGGAAACTTGATTCTTATCAGATATATGATTTTCAAATATTTTTTCCCATTCTGTAGGTTATCTTTCTTACTTTCTTGGTAATGTCTTTTGATGCTCAAAAGTTTTTAATTTTGATGAAATCCAATTCACCTTTTTTTTCTTGCTTATGCTTTTGCCATCATATCTAAAAAAACCATTGCTGGGCTGGCCCGTGGCTCACTCGGGAGAGTGCGGTGCTGATAACACCAAGGCCGCGGGTTTGGATCCTATATAGGGATGGCCGGTTCGCTCACTGGCTGAGCGTGGTGCTGACAACACCAAGCTAAGGGTTGAGATCCCCTTACCGGCCATCTTTTAAAAAAAAAAAAAAAGATAAAAAAACCATTGCTAATTCCAAGGTCATGAAGTTTTACTCCTATGTTTTCTTCTATGAGTTTTATAGTTTTTAGCTCTTAAATTTAGGACTTTGATCTGTTTTGAGTTAATTTTTTTATACAGTGTGAGGAAGGGGTTCAGCTTCATTTTATTGCATGTGAACATGTAGTTGTTCTCATGCAATTTTTAAAGAGACTGTCCTTTCTCATTAAATGGTCTTGGCATCCTTGTTAAAAATCGGTTCGCCATAGATGTATGGGTTATTTCTGGATTCTCAGTTCCATTCCACTGGTGTATGTGTATAGCCTTACACCAGTACCACACTGTTTTAGTTGCTATAGCTTTGTAGTAAGTTTTGAAATCAGGAAGTGTGAGTCTAGCACATAGTGGAAACTCCTTAAATGCATGTTAAGCTTTCCACTGATTCATTCATTCATTCATTGAAAGATCAATTTCTTCAGCAAATAGTTTAGTCTGCTGAGTGCCAGCCCCTTTGCTGGATGCTGTGGATGCAAAAACAAACCAAAGTGGAGTCAACCAACAGTTACAGTTGAGTGCTGCAAGAGTTTTACTAAAAATAAGTACCAGCTGTGGGAAGAAGGCAGCTGGGAGCCCCTTCAAGAGGAGATGATCTAGATTCCGAGCCTCTTCCTGGCAGCAGAGACCTGGAGTGTGGGAGGCCTGTGTGCTCTTTTAGAGTACTGTATCCTGAAGATTGCAGGGGGACATTGAAGGATTTTTAAGCAGGAAAGTGATATTAAGGGGTTTGCATTTTAGAGAGATTATTTGGACAGCAGTTTGAATTTTCTGAGGGGTCAGGAACCTACTGTGGGAGCAGGGTAATCTGAGTAAAAGATGGTAAGGATCTGGGCTGGGCAGCAGCTTGGAGACAGAGTGGGATGGCTGGAAGAGACCTTCTTGGGGGCAGGGCTGATTGGAGGTGGGGGGAGAGGGAGGGGTCTGGGAAGATGTCTGGGCAGGGTCCTCTGGGTACATCTGTCCAAGGGGATTCAGGAAAGAGGTGTGAGTGGAAAGTGTAAATTTGAGTGTCCTCATAGAGCAGGTGGTGGGAGCTATGAATATGGTTGATGTCTTTCTTTTTAGAAATCAAACAAGTTGGGAGACCTTTCTTTAAAACAAGTGAGATTAGGTTCTGGCACTTGGAAACTAGTCATAGTGCTGTAATCACCCCAGCCTCTTCATACCCCCATGTATGTCTTTCTGGAACCCCAGGATGAAAAAGGATGAAAAGAGGCTTGGAAGCATTCCTAAGGGAGGCCCCAGGGAGGTGCCCTGGGAGGCTAGCAGGGCTGGGTGGGTACCGGGCCAGTTCTGGGGTCGCTGCCCCTGCCCACTGCCTTTCATCTTTCCTCTGAGATCTTCCCCTTCTCAGTTTCTCCGAGTCCTGCCTCCTCCTATTCCGTGTGTTATCTGTAGTGATCGATGTAAATTCCTCTGGCTGACTGCCAAGAGCGATTCAAATGTGTGCCTTGCCGGTCAGTCCCACTGTTCTGCAATACCAAAAGATCTTTTACGTTACGAAGCAATTCACATAAACCCACTTTTCTATCCCAGCAATCAGATTCTCTCCTGTCCTTCTTGCTTGGTTTGGTTTTAGTCCCGTGAAATGTGTTGAGATTTGCTTTATGGCCTCATACATGATTTGTTTTTGTAAATGTTTTATGTGTACTTGGAAAAAAAAATGTATTCTGCAGTCATTGAATGTGTTGTTCTACATTCATGTTCATAAAATCCAAGTTTAATTCTGTTCAAAGCTTTTATGTTCTTACCTATTTTTTGACTGTTTGTTCTATTAAATTCTGAGAGAGTTGTGTTAAAATGTCCCACTTTGTCAGTTTATTTTTACTTCTATTTCTGTCAATATTTGCTTTACGTATTTCAAGAATAAGTACTTGAGGTGTGTACAAGTGTACCATTGTGTTATCCTCTTCTGTCTCTAGAATCACCTTTGCCTGAAAGTCTGTATTGTCTGGTGACCTCAGCTTTCTCTTGGTTAGTATTTGCCTGGATGTCTTTGTCCTGCATCTACATCCAGTTTTTCTCAATCCTTATGTCTTAGATGTGTTAGTCTATAAAGCATATTTTAGGTTTTATTGCTTAATCCCATCAGATAATTTTTGTTTTTTAATTTAAGGATTAGTCCATTTAGATTAATATAATTACTGAAATATTTGGATTTAAGCCTACCATCTTATTTTGTGCTTTCTGTTTTTCTCATAGGTTATCATTTCTTTTTTTTTTTTTTACTGTATGAGCCTGTAAGTTACATACTCTTTTTCTATTCTTTTAGTCGTGTTGACCTAAAAAAGAAACACACCAAATACGTATAGCAAGGATTTATTGAACTAATATGATGATTGTAATCAGGGAGACACATATATATGAAGTAGCTCTGAAAGTGTGCTTGGAAGAGGGCCAGCAAAGCCTAACATTTTATAATCACAAGAAGGGGGAAGGGTCAAAGAAGTGAAAAGACAGGCCTACCTAATTACCATCAGGCATCGTACTGGCTGTATGTGACGTATGGATTTGGGATCATCTTACATGCAGAGACCTAGGGTAATAATAAGAAGTATTCTATGTTATTTTTATGGCTTTCTGGTGCCATTTTGGCTGCTTCTAAGTAAAAAAGTCTCATGATAATGTTTCCAGGACAGGTGGACATGATTACTGACTCATCCCAGATCTCCCAAGGCACTGTGATTTAGCTGGCCTGGTCAGAGCATATTCTTTTGTTTTCACATTTAAAATATTATTATTATTATTTTTATTGTGGTAAAATATATATAACATGAAATTTACCATTTCAACCATTTTTAAGTGTAGTTTGGTGGCATTAAGTACATTTGTAGTGTTGCGCAATCATCACCATCATCTGTCTCCAGAACTTTCTTTGTCATCCCAAACTGAAACTCCATACCCATTAAGCATTAAGTCTCTAGTCCCCCCCGCCCCCTAGCCTGTGGTAACCTCTAGTCTATTTTCTGTCTCTATGAATTTGCCTATTCTGGATACCTTAAATGAGTGGAATCATAGAATAGTACTTGTCCTATTGTGGTTGGCCACTTAGCACAATGTTCTCTAGGTTCATCCATGTTCTAGCATGTGCTAGAGTTTCCTTCTTCTTCTTTTTTTTTTTCCTTTTTGTCTTTTTTTTACTGACCGGTAACGGGATCGCAACCCTCGGTGTCGCGCCCGTACTGGGACCGGCAACGGGATTGCAACCTTCGGTGTTGCGCCTGCACCGGGGACCGACAATTCCAGTGCACCACCGGGCCGGCCCGAGTTTCCTTCTTCTTTAAGGTTGGGTACTATTTCCACTGTAGGTATACACCACATTTTGTTTATCCATTCATCCCTGGAAGTGTACTTAGGTTGCATCTACCTTTTGTTATCATGAATAATGCTGCTGTGAACATGGATATGTAAATACTCTTTGAGACCCTGCTTTCAGTTCTTTCAGGGATATACCAAGAGGTGGAATTGCTGCACCATATGGTAATTCTATTTTTAATTTTTGAAGAACCACCACACTGTTTTCCACCATGGCTGTTCCATTCTGCATTTGTACCAGTAGTGCACAAGTGTTCCAGTGTCTCCACAGCCACACCAACACTTATTTTCTATCTTTTGATGTTACCCATCTCAATGGGTTTAAGGTGGTATCTCATTATAGTTTTGATTTACATTTCTCTAATGATTAGTGATATTGAGCATCTTTTCATGTGCTTATTGGCCATATGTATATCTTTGGAGAAATGTTTATTCAAATGCTTTGCCCATTCTTCAATTGGGTTGTTTGGCTTTTTGTTGTTGAGTTCTAGTTCTTTATATATCCTGGAAACTAGACCCTTATCATATATATGATCTGCCTGTTCACTCTGTTGATAGTATCTGTTAATGCAGGAGATTTTTGACAATTTGAAGAAACTCCCAGACAAACTGCATTAGCCTGGAAATATTGATTGATGTAGATGCTGTCAGACAGACAATTTATCTTCTAAACAGATGACACAAACTTGTGGTATTGATATAGAACAGTACTGTAAGTATATCTTCTCTTCCTTCTGATTTTCTTAACATTTTCTTTTCTCTAGCATACTTCATTGTAAGAATACAGTATATAATACATATAACATATAAAATACGTGTTAATTGGCTGTGTTCTTAGTCAGGCTTTGTGTCAACAGCAGGCCATTAGTAGTTAAGTTTTGGGGAAGCAAAAGTTATACACACATTTTTGACGGCACGTGGGTCGGCGCCCCAACCCCCACATTGCTCAAGGGTTAAATGTAGTTGGAATCTTAACAGAGTGTGTAGCTTTTCAGATTGGCTTCTTTCAGTTAGTAGTGTGCATTTCGGTTTCCTCCATGTCTTTTCATGGCATGGTAGCTCATTTCTTTTTAGCACTGAATAATATTCCATTGTCTGGATATACCACAGTTTGTTTATCCATTCACCTGCTGAAGGACATCTTGGTTGTTAAACAAATTTTGGTGATTATGAATAAAGCTGGTATAAACATACATGTGCAGGGTTTTTTTTTTGTTTTTTGGCGGTGGGGAGGACACTGGCCAGTACAGGGAACCACACACTTGACCTTGGTGTTACAAGGCTGTGTGTGCTCTAACCAACTGAGCTAATTGGCCAGCCATCACGTGCAGGTTTTTGTGTGGACATAAGTTTTCATGTCTTTCGGTAAATGTCAAGGAGCGTAATTGCTGGATCATTTAGTAGGAGTGTGTTTAGTTTTGTAAGAAACCGCCGCACTGTCTTCCAAAGTGGCCGTACCATTTTGCGTTCCCACCAGCAGTGGATGAGAGTTCCTGTTGCTCCACATCCTCGGCAGCATTTGCTGCTGTTGGTGCTCTGGATTTCGGCCATTCTAGTAGGTGTGTCGTGGTATCTCATTGCTTTAGTTTGCATTTCCACAGTTACGTATGATATGGACTATCATTTCTTATGTTTATTTGCCGTCTGTATATCTTCTTTGGTGAGGTGTCTGTTCTGGTCTTTTGCCCACTTTTTAATCAGGTTATTTTCTTACTGTTGAATTTTACGAGTTCCTTGTATATTTTAGATAGTAGTCCTTTATCACATATGTCTTTTGCAGATATTTTTTTCTCAGTCTTGGCTTTTTTCCTCATTTTTTTGACTGTGTGTTTTGCAGAGCAGTTTTTAATTTTAGTGAAGTCCAACCTAGCAATTTTTTCCTTCATGCATCATGCTGTTGGTGTTATATATAAAAAGTTATCGCCATACCAAGGTCATCTTGGTTTTCTCCTGTGTTACCTTCTAGAAGTTTCATTGCTTTGCATTTTACATTTAGTCCTTTGATCCATTTTGAGTTAATTGTGTGAAGTGTGTAAGGTCTGTATCTAGGTCCATTTTTTAGCATGTGGGTGTCCACTTGTCCCAGCACCGTTTGTCAAAAAGACTCTCCTACATTGAATTGCCCTTGCTCCTTTGTCAGTTAGTTGATGTTATTGGTTTGTGTCGATTTGGGGCTCTCTGATCTGTTCCATTAATTCATTTACCTATTCTTTCACCAATGCCACAGTCTTGATTGCTGTAGCTTCGTAGGAAGTCTTGAAGTTGGTGGTGTGAGTTCTCCATCTCTGTTCTTCAGTATTGTGTTGGCTATTCTGGGTCTTTTGCCTTTTCGTATAAACTTTAGAGTCTGTTGATATCTGTTCTCTGCATATTTTTAAAACTGTTCTCTTTCCCTTTAGAGTTTTTAAATTTCTCTATGCTGTGTTTCCATATGGAGACACATAATTTCTCTATGCTGTGTTTCCATTATTTATTCTGCTTAAAATTTGTAGGACTTCCTGAATCTGTGGGTTGGTGCCTTTTGTCATTTCTTTCCTTTTATTTATTCTGCTTAAAATTTGTAGGACTTCCTGAATCTGTGGGTTGGTGCCTTTTGTCATTTCTGGATAATCCTCAGCCATCATCTCTTCAGATATTGATTGCCCCTGCCCCACTTCCTCGCCCCCCTTTTTTGTAGGGGGTGGCTGGCCAGTTCGGGGGCTCACGCCTCTTTTTATGGACCTCTGATTAGAGAGGTTAACAACCCTCTGTCTGTCCCACGGCTTGTGACCACCCCGTGTGCTCCATTACTGCCCTGCCTTGTCCCGCATTCTGGGTAATTTCTTCTGGCCTGTTTTCTAGTTTATCAATACCCTATTCCATTGTAGAAAATGAAGCTGTTGAGTTTTAATTTTGGTGACTCATTGTTTCTAGAAGTTCTATTTTGTTCTTTTTCAAATCCACTACATTATTTTTTAATTTTCTATATTTGATAGATGTCTCAAGCTTGTCTTGTTTCTTTTTTTTTATTATCTATAGCTGATATCTGAAGTCTTTGGTGGGTCTCTTTCTTTCTGTTGTTTCTGCTGGTTCTTGCTAGATTCAGCTAGAACAAGTCCCATTAGCCATAAAGCATCTGTCTCCTTTTCTATCTGGCCCAAGGCATTAATCCAGGCACAGCAGGATATATTAATAATTTGCATCTACTTCACCTTGGCCCGCAAGGAAAGTGGTCTTTGCCAGATGTTTTACCCCTGTTGATGCAGACAGCGAGTTGAAGCTGACCTGAAGGCCTCCCTGGGCTGAGGCAATGCCACGATCACGTCAGGTCACACTAGGGGACAGGTCTGATACCTCCCTCCTCACCCAGTAATGCCCATTGTTGGCCGGATGCCAGCAGAGCACCATCTGAGGACTGTTTGTTGCAGTGTTTCCTTAGCACCTGGTGGCTCTGATTGCACCCAGGCTCAGTGGGAGGCACAATGGGAAGCACCCCGTGTCTGCTGAAGCATGTGTGGGGGATCGTGTGCTGTCTGGGGTTTGCTTTTAACTTCTTCAACCCCCCAAGTTTGTCGGACTGTACAAAACAATTGGAGAAATGTTGGTCACCGCTGAAGCTAGGTACGAGGGGCTCATTATATTACTCTCAGCTTTTGTGCTTTTGTGAATGTTTGAAATTTTCTTAATAAGAAGCTATGGTTGCCTTTTCCTTTTAAAAGTGTTTTGTGGCACCTTTCTTGGGCCTGTTTTCTCTCGGTGTTTCCGCAGGCTGACGTGATGGCGGACAGGGTTCCCCAGTGCTCAGTCTGCACCAGCATCGTGAAGCCCGACATCGTGTTCTATGGGGAGCCGCTGCCCGAGAGGTTCTTGCTGCATGTGGTTGACTTCCCCATGGCAGATCTGCTGCTCATCCTTGGCACTTCCCTGGAGGTTTGTCAACTGGCTTGTGCTGGGAGGAGGCTGGCAATGGGGGTGGGGTGTGGGGGAGGATGCAGTGTACAGAGGAGTCACTGCCTGGGTGCTCGTGGGGGTGGCATGGCCTCTGGCCAATGAATGGCTTCGGCTGGTGTTCTGGCCAGGAGATTGGGGAAGGTGGAAGACGCTCAGCTTTGGAGGTGCTGTAAGTGTGTGTGGGGTACCATGTGTGAGGGGAAGGGAGAAGGGGAGGGTCTGGCCTCTCAGGTCAGATCAGGAAGACAGATCCTGGGCTAGAAGCAGCAATAAACCTGAAGGGATTGACCTGGGCAGGTGGCTGCACACTCAGGGTCAGAGAAACCACTGAGGAGTGGAGATTGGCACGGGTAGGTGCCAGGAGGCTGGCGCTGAAGAAGGCAGAGCTGTGGGCAATGGCAAGGGACGGTGAGGAGGGGGTGACTGGGCTTGCTGTCTGGTGACACTTTGGGGAGGGGAGCAGGAGGGGTATGGCTCCGTCCACGTGGTCAGAGCATTTGATGGTGGGGGGCAGTTTGGGAGAGAGTATGCCGAGTTTGGTTCCGCCTGCGTGTGTGAGGTGCCTGGGAGACACCACTGGACCTGAAGCTCCAGGAAGTTGTAAAAGACGTGATGAGACCAGAAGGTGAGCTGGTCATAACTGGATGTAGGTGCTGAGGGGCAGAGGGCCAGGAAGGCCAGCCCAGAGGCCTGAGCTGTGTGTTTGCTTGGGAGTCATTGTCACTGCCTGCTGTGTGCTGGGCCCTGTTTTTGTACTTTGGACAGACACAGAAAGGTGTAAATATGTTAAATAGTAGGTTAGGAGATGATGTGTGTTACGTGAAAGAATGACAAGTAGGGTAGGGAGACCAGGGGGCGTTGGGGACTGGTCACAACATCAAGTTGCTCGTTTTGCCTTGTCAGGAAGGCAACCTTGGAGCTAGGAGTTAAAGGAAGTTAGGGTTTTAGCGAAGGGGGTAACTGGCAGGAGACACTGCCTACGACAAGCAGTGGGGAGGGCAGGTGAAGCCAGCAGGGACAGACTGGATGACACCCATGTCCTGTGGAAAGGGCTTCTCTGGTGCTGTGTAGCAAAGCGACCATAGGGGACAAGCGTGGGTGCAGCAGACCCAGCAGAGGCCCTTGCAGGGGGTGACTGGAGGTGCTGGCAGGTGACCATGTGAAGCCAGCCCAGTGTATGTACAGCAGAGCAGGCACGCTGGCACAGTGTATGGGAGATGTGGATGCCCACAGGGTACCAGGGCAGAGGCCTGAGCAGCTGGAAGAACGGAGCCACCGTTTCCTGAGATGGAGAAGCCTGGTGGGTGGGTTTGGGGGAGCTCAGGAATTCAGCCTTGGTCACACCAGTTTGAGGAATGCTGAGCTGCCAAGGTGGGGGGTGTTGAGCAGGCAGGTGGATACACGAGTCCACAGTCACCAGAGTAGGAGCTGGGTGCTGGAGTGGGCAGACACGGGGGGGGTGCCTAGGCTGGAGGGACAGACACAGGAGGGAGCAGTCCCAGGGGCGAGGGGTTAGGCAGTGTTGGGGCCATGGGGAACACTGGGGCCACCAGCCAGCCTTATTTTTGAGGTAGAGTGCCTAGGCTGGAGGGACAGACACAGGAGGGAGCAGTCCCAGGGGCGAGGGGCTAGGCAGTGTTGGGGCCATGGGGAACACTGGGGCCACCAGCCAGCCTTATTTTTGAGGTAGAATGAAAATAACCTTTTTTTAAATTATAAAAGTACCATGTGATTTTTCTAAAAGAACATTATATAAAGGTATAAAGTAAAGAGTCAACTTTAATCCTACCAGCAACCGTTAGCCACTTTTCTGTTGTCTTGTTGGGGTTCTTTTATTTTCTTTATTTTTTTTAGCAGCTGGCTAGTACAGGGATTGAACCTGGACCTTGGTGTTATCAGTACCACGTTCTAACCAACTGAGCTAACCAGCCAGCCTTGGCTTCTTTTCTGTACAAATGTACACATACAGGTGGTGATTTTTAACTAAAAGTTGGACAACAGTGTACGTTCTGTCACTTGCTGTTGTCATATAATGGTGTGAGTGCACAGAGATCTGCTGCCTCGTTAATGCTGATGGTTTCCCTCGTGTGGACACTAGCCAGGGTACAGTCGAGTGCATACTGTCCATCAGAGGAGAGCTGGAAGAGGCTTGAAACTGGGCGGAGACAGCCTGATGGGAAGGAAGGCAGTGCAGATGTGCAGATTGTTTGCTGTGGCTGGAGGAGGCAGGACGGAGCCCCATGAGCCGTGGACTGGAGATGGGTGAAGCCGAGGTGTGGGCAGCAGGGAGAGGAAGTGGGGGAGAGGGAGGCTCGGGGAGGAGACCGCGCCGTGGAGACCACGTGGCAGGGACTTGCCTGAAGAAGTGGGGTAGTGGTGGGCGTCCCTGCACCACAGGGTCTGACCGTCAGTCTGCTGCCCCTCCATAGCCTCAGTGGCTGTGGCACAGCATCTTGAGGGCCTCATAGGGTGGACACTATGCTTACATTTGGGCCATTTTTCAGGTGGAGCCTTTTGCCAGCTTGTCCGAGGCTGTGCGGAGCTCAGTGCCTCGGCTGCTCATCAATCGGGACTTGGTGGGGCCCTTGGCTTGGCGTCCTCGCAGTAGGGATGTGGCCCAGCTGGGGGATGTGGTTCATGGCGTGGAAAGGCTGGTGGAGCTTCTGGGCTGGACAGAAGAGATGCAGGACTTGGTCCAGCAGGAAACTGGAAAGGTACAGACTATGAGCAGGGCTATCTGAGGGGCCCTTGTCCGCCTGGTATGGAGCCCTGTTGGCTAAGACAGCGACAGTCATAGCTAACGTTGCTGTTTATCCCGCACCAGGTACTAACCTGGACTCACCTCAGTGTCGTTAATTTTACTACCTCCATGTAGAGATCAAGAGAGTAATGCTAAGTCCCTGCTCCCGAGGTTGCAGAGCTAATGGTGGCCGAGCAGGGATGTGGTTCCAGGCAGTCTGGGCTGATTAGTGTCTGCACTGTTAACACACTACAGGCCGTTGCCTTTTGCTCCCTAAAATAAAGAAGCCAAACAGCTCCTCTCTAAGGCCTAGTATGTGATTCTGAGATGGAACAGGTTAAAGAACTTTGAGAAGCTGAAGTTCTTGGCACCCGGGTGGGACGAAGCCTCTGCTCGTGATGCTTTTAGGGGGTAATCAGTGTGAGAGCTTCTGATCTATTACAATCTGCTGAGAGTAGGAAGCCAGAGAGCCTTGATGCTTTCTAGATTTTAAGCCTCCTGTAAACAAGTGAAGTTAAAGAAAATGCAGTTTCCTGTGAGAACCATGTAGGCCCGGGTGGGACGAAGCCTCTGCTCGTGATGCTTTTAGGGAGTAACCAGTGTGAGAGCTTCTGATCTATTACAATCTGCTGAGAGTAGGAAGCCAGAGAGCCTTGATGCTTTCTAGATTTAAGCCTCCTGTAAACAAGTGAAGTTAAAGAAAATGCAGTTTCCTGTGAGAACCATGTAGCACATGTAGCCTCAATATTAAGGGCTTTTTCCTACAGGAGGCGGCATTAAGCACACAGTGTCCAATTTTATGACTATAGAAAGGCGCAACACTGGCCAAAGGGGACTTCACCAGAATAAATCACAGCTGATGTTTTTCCCAAGGCAAGTGTCCCAGGAAACCTCCACCCTTTCTTCTTGTCCCCAGCTGTGCCTGCCTTGGCTCAGGGCCCTGGGGGCGGCATTGTCCTCTCGCCTCCACTGGTAAAGCCCCCCAACCTTTGGTCACAGCCTGATTTCTCACCAAGACTGAACCAAAGACAGACAAAATACAAGACTTACTGAGATTTGAGATTTAGCACTTACCGTTTCTACACATATTAGACACCATCACCATTATTATTTTTAGCCTCTCACTCCAGAGTTTGGCTCTTAGGGCTAAGATGTAGGCTGGTGCCATTTCTAGTCTCACTATATAGAGGGAAATAAAGATGATCAACTGTCAGAATCACACTGCTGGGTCACTTCATTATGGAAGCAGACTCCAGCTAACGTCAAAGCTTAAACTTTACATACTGAGAGGCAGGTGTCTCCTGGCTGGCTTGCAGGGCAGTAGAGATCCTGGTCAGATGAGCTTAGCAGGATTTCAAGGGAACCTTGAAAACCTTTCCTGGCTCTGACTTCCTGTCTCCGTGTAAAAGCAAATTGTAACTCAGGTAGCTCCTCTGGATTTTTGGAAGTAGCCCTGTAAGATTTGACCTGTACTATTTTCTAGTTTCACAGAAATTTGTGTAAAGTGGGTTGTGATTTTAGATTTTTTTTAGAAAAGAATTGCTATCCAAAGGGCAACTTTTCCAAATAGTGTTTTTTCAATATGTGAGCATCAGCTCATCTTGTGTAGTTAGAACCCCTTGGAATGAAGCTCTCTGTTTAGCCTCCCTGCTCTGCCCAGGCCTGCTGGGATCATCTTAAACTGGCTCAACAGCAGCATTTACAGAGAGATACTTTTGTGCTATGAAGTATTGTGCTTGTCTTCAGCTGGGCTGTTTGACCCACGCCCTGAGATCTGCTGGCCTGCCTGATGTGTTTAGGTGACTAATATCCTTTCTCTGTTCCAGCTTGATGGACGGGACAGATAGGACAGTGATGGTCAGCCCACGTACAGGAAATGGTTACATAGGAGAGATCCATATCCCATTTCTGATGAGACTTTGTGCCTGAAGACAGCTTGGGCAAGTTTCCAAATTTTGGCAGAACCAGGACATGCAACCTGAGGAACAGAGTGGAGGTCTGAGTCTGCTGCTGCAGTGTCTTCCTGGGCTATGAGCTCCGTGCCGACTGGTAGTGTGCTTACACTCAGGGCCACCCAGTCATGGATACAAAGGATTCTGCTGAAGCTCTTAATGCAAAAAGCTTTCTTCTGATGGTGTTCCCCTCAAACTGAAACAGACTGCCTGGAATCCCAGACTGGATCTACCTTTACTGTGCCCAAGTCACAGAGGGGCATCTCTGTTGGTAAGAAGACCCAGGCCTGAGCTGAGCAGCCCCCCTCACGTCCCAAAATGTCATCCTGGGGCCCTAGTGATGCAGCAGGATCTTCTAGCATGTTGTTCTCTTTAGTAGGGTTATTTTCATTAGAGAAAATCTGTCCTTCATTTCCAGCATAAAATAAACTTTAGTTTTCTCAAAGGGACTGCAAGTGTTGAATGTGGAAAGGAGACCTTGGGGTGTACATGAGTGACTCCTCTATTGGGATAGTCTGACTGAGGACATTTGTCCCTGGATTCACCCTGGAGATGGCCCCGTGCCGCCTCCTCCACCCCAGCTCCCTCTCTGAAGGCCGTGACATCCCGTTGTTGACCTTCTGGACGGTGTCTTTGTGTCAGCCTTGCCTCCAAACTGATGTTCCAGCACTTCTTAACCCATCTCCTTTCCCCCCCTGTCTACCGGGGCTTCTTCCACTAGTGCTGCTAGAACTCATCTCTCAGAGAGGGAAGGCACTATTCACTTAGGAACAGCTGCTCCTGGCCACTGGTCAGGGTTCCCCTGACCCTGTGCTCAGGCCACACCATGACGTGTGTGCAGAACCCACTGCAAGCTTTGTACTCTGCACAGCCCTTTCTCCTGGTGGTTGCCCTGAGGCCCAGCTCTGCTGGCTGACCCCTTCGGCACTAGCTGCTGCTTCCTTGGCTCCTACTCACGTACACATTCCCCTTCCCAGCACTGTATGGGCTGCAGGTTTCCCCAGCAAAAGCACCTCCTGTCCCTGAACGGCGCCTGCCTTGGGCTGGAGCTGGCAGGAACAGATTTTACTGACAGACTCCATGGAAGGGGGTTCCGTGCCCCTGCTCCTCAGTGAGAACCAATGAGTGGTGGTCTAGGAAAAGTGTCGAATTCTGGAAAGAATGAAATTAGTTTCTATTTCTATTTAGCATTTCTTCACTTGGTATTTTACATGTATATTGGCACAGTTTTGCCTGAAATTCCTCTTCTTTATTCTAAGATGGTGTTTCTGTGGCTATTTGTGGTACATGACAGAAATCTTAATTTATGGTCTCATGATGGGCATTTTTCTTCATGTTAAGTGTTTACAGTCAAAGCCAGTGGGAAGGCTTGAGATTGAGTTGTCACAACCAGTAAGAACTCGGGTGCTGTGGATACTACTGCAGTGGGCAGCTGAGCCAGGATCGAGGAGAAGGTGGAAGTGGCCACCAGCTCTGCACTCAGTGGGGACAGAACAACGGCACACCTCTGGCAGGTTCATTTCCCCTGTGAAGACAGCACGTGTCCCAACACCCCGGCTCTGGGCCAGCATGCCCATCCTGGACGTGCCTGCATCTGTGCACACTTGTCAGCCCCTTGCCCTGCGCATGCCCTCGGGCAGCAGCCTCTGCACACACTCCTGTTGGCACAGATAAGAGAAACTAAGTTCTCAGAAGTACAGCAGGACACCACCACAGTCCTAGAGATAAAAAATTGGACCAGAGGCAAACCATGAACAGAACTCTGGGAGTAAAGAGAAAGAGTCTTCAAGCTGGAGAGAGGGGCACTGAGATGTGTGGCCAGTGGGACGTGGCTTCCCCAGGTTGCAGCCCCAGGGACGCCTCTGGAAGCAGCACCAGTTCTGAATTGGCGCTGAAGAGCTGCAATCCTCAGTCAGGGTCTGAGTCAGGGTCCGAAGAGAGCTGCCCCTCCATGGTCTCGCACATGGCATCCTGCAAGGATGTGAGGTGACCCCGGGGACTCATCCCCATAGGCTGGATGACTCTGTGCCTGTGGGGAGAGGTGCAGTGGGGATGGGAAGGGCCCCAGTGGGCCAGGCAGGGGTCCTGCTCACCCCACTGCTCCCTTCTCCACCACACAAGGCTGCTCCCATTTACTGGGGAAGCCTGGGTGGGACCCTGTGTTAATTGGGCCCAAATCCTTACTGCTACCTAACAGCTTTGAGGCATCAGGCAGTCTCAATTTCTCTGGGTCTCTGTTGTCTTCATCTGTAAAATGGGCACAATAATGGTCCCACTCCAACCCTTCCCTGGGGCAATCTCCTCCAGGGCAAGTGATTTCAAACTGTAATGCAGCCTTGCCAGGACCCTAACCCACCTCTTATCCCACCTCCCGGGGCTCACGGGACGGGACTGGGTCTGCTCTCCCTTGTCCCGGCTGCAGGCCCCGCCTTGTCCACACCACGCACCTGGAGAGCTTGTCGAACATATTCACCAGCTTCATGGCCTCGTGCTCCCGCTGCTCCTCCGTCATGCCCTCCATGGGGTTGGGCGGCTGCTCCTCCACCCTCCCGGTCACCGGGTTTATGCTGCTTCCCGGGGTGGGGGCATGGGAAATGTGTTAGTGACTCTCTAGGACAGGAGGGGCTGCAGGGGGTGGATGGAGCCCCGCATCTTCTTGTGCAGGACTGGACTGGCACGAAATCCATTTTCCAGGAGTTGGGGCGGTGGGGGAGTCAGGTAACCCAGGAAGAGACCTCCTTCCAGGAGAGCCCCGGTCCCTTAGTCTCTGTGCTGTCAGAATGACACATCTTGACATCAGGACAGATGTTACTTAAGAACAGGTGTCTGATTCTGGAAGGTCTTACCCATCTGTCATCCTGACCTGCCCTCCCCACAGGGGTCCAGACAGGTGTGGGTACCGGGGGGAATAAGGGACTGTGAGAAGAGTCCCCTGCGTGTGTGGTGGGAGCACACACCTGGCCTTGGCTTCCTTGTACTCCTCTGTGTCCGTGTCCTCGTCCTCTGAGTACTGGCCCTCACGCCGGCCCCCCGCCATGAGACCCCTGGCAGCCAGGAGGCCGGCGGCATTCCCGTAGCCGGTGTACTTGATGAATCGGGGCACTGAGGGGCAGGGCAGAAGTCAGTGTGCACACGTGGCTGGGGCAGGGCAGGCCTGGGGCCTGGGTGTCCCCTACTCACCGCTCTCAGAGCACAGGACAAACAGGAACTCAGCGGCCACCCTCTTCACGTCCGTGTCCAGGTGTGTCATGAGGCGGACAAGCTTGTTTCGCAGCAGTTCCCCCACCTCCGGCCGGGTCCTCACATCCCGCAGCGGGGGCAGCACCTGAGGAAGGGGCTGTTCCTAAGCCTGGGCTTGGAGCAGCTGGGACTCCAAGTGACCAGGGCCCTACCTTTGTTCCCCAGGAGCACCAACTCCTTTGCCAATACCTGGGCCTTCAGGAATTTCCTGGCTGGGCGATGCATACGGGCACACTCTGTCAGCACGCTCAGCACGGGGGCCACGCTCTCCTTCAGCCTGTGTGTCTGCAAAGGAGCCACTGTCACAGCTGGTGGGGGGCTGCACACACACACCCACCAGTGGTCCTTGTGGCAGAGGCTTGGGATGAGGCCATGCTGCAATCAGCCAGCCGAGGCCTAAGAGCCAAGAGCCGGTGGTGGGTGTCTGGGTCAGCTTCAAAAGGGAAGGGACAGGACCTAACTCAGGAAGCTACTTGGAAACTTTGTGACTTGGAGCAAATGACTCGACTGCCATAAGTCTAACTTTCTCAACTACAAACCAGGCTTGTGAGGAAAACACAAAACATTTAAAGCTGTTTGCACACAGTGGTGCACACACTGTCCTCAGAAAATGGTGGCAAAGAGAAACCACAAAATCTCTTCTCTGCATGCTTCGTGGAAAGACACCAGGGAGCTTCTGTTCCTTCCTGGCCTCCCCCATTACCTCCCTGGATCTCAACACCAGCAGCAGCAGAAACAGGGACAGTTGGCCACAGCCAGCATGTCCAAGGCCAGCTCCCCCATCCTGACCAGCTCCCATGGCCTGCGAGCACCCTTTGCTCAGGCAACGTGGATTCCTGAGAGGTCTACTGAATTTTGGCCTGCTGCACTCTGTAGTTTTTTTAATGTTAGAGCCCCAGCTGCCTGGATGTCCCGCGGTGCAGCCGCAGGAATCAGAGGGAACCTCTGGTTAGAGGCTCCTGTGGGTCACCAAGGGCTGCCCTTGCTGTTGACGCTAGGAGTCTAAGGAACACAAGCAAGGAGTAGAGGGCTTCTCAGGACCACCCAAGAAGGTCCACAAGCACCTTGCTAAACCCTGGAAAACTTGTTTCTTTGTAGCAATCAGCAGAGGTGAAAGTTTTAAGTGTGAGTGGGGGTGTCCACATGCTTCCCAAGGAGGAAGGGTCTGGCTTGCTGACTGGCTAAACCGCAGAGCAGCTGGAGGAATCACCTGAATCACACCACCATGATCTCCACTTACCCGTGTAGGCAGTGCAGAAGCAGTGACCACAGCTGAGCAGGAAAGCCAGGGCCAGAGCCACTGGGGGAGCCTGCACAGCCGGTCCCCTGCCTACCTGGTGCAAACGCTTTTCTAGGAAGGCGAGGAGGACATGAATCACATCCATGTTCACTCCCATGAATTCCAAGGAGCCTTCATGCAGCTCCAGGGTGAGGAGGACGTCCAGACACTTGAGGGGCAAGTTCCCCAGGAGGTTCACTGTGTGGCTAGGGAAAGATTGCAAGGGGAGGTCTTAACAGGGCTCATCTCCCAGCACAGGTGCAAACCTTACTGCCTCCTGCTGGGGCCACACCTGATGTGAGCCAGGGTCTGGGGGCTGGAGCAGCACTAGGGACCAAAGACAATAGCAGGGACTGATCTTGGGAGTGTGGTGGGGGTCCCCCGGGGAGGGGAGGCACTCTCTGCAGAGGCACTGCCTGCCACACCTTGTCTGGGCTGAAGCACCAGACGATCACTGCAAACCCAGACCAGCCCAGGTACAGGTCACCAAGAATGAGGGTGAGGAACTACATTGCCCTGCAAATACCACACCATCCATGGCCACTGCCCAAGGTCCAGGTGGCACCATTCCTACCCTCAAATATACGGCTCTCATCCTAGCCACATATTAGAGGCACCTGGGGCTCTCTAGAAACACACTGATGTCCAGTCCCACTCACATATAAAGTCAGACTAGGGTGAGGCCTCCAGCTAGACACCTGAGTACATTTCCCTCCCAGCACAACAGGCCCCACCTCACCCATGGAACTCCTCTGTGTGATCTCCAGCAACAGTGACCATCACACAGTGCCTCAGAAGGGTCGCCAGGTACTGGTAAAGGGAAGCATCTTCCTGACCAGAAAGAGAAAGGGGTTCATGTGAAAAGGAGCCCTGCTGCTCCCCCCACTGCCAGCTGGGCTCCGACCTCTGCTGCATGCCAGGAAGTGCGGCCCTCCCTACCGCACCTCCTCTGCTGCACACCTGGCCCTTTAGATTCTCCTTGGTGACCCTGGCCAGTGCTGGGGTCAAAGATGACCAAGTGCTGCTATTTTACTAAAGACTCCGCCAGTATCCTTCTAAGAACATTTCTCTGTCCCCTTGGGATGAAGTCACACTCTGTGCCCTGCCCCACACTCACAGCCTCACGGTGGAGAATCTACCACCTCCCCACGCACCACACAGCTCTTCTGCAAGGCCCCAAGAGCCAGAGTGGCCCCCACCTGGAACAGGCATCTCCGTGGCCTCCTCCTGATAGGCGGGGAGGGCTGCCTGTTCTCTGCACGACTGACACCCAGAAGCTTGAGGGCACCCAGTGGGAGGCAGGTCCAAGACACGTCCCAGCTGAGTGAAGCCCACCACTGGGCTCAGGTCGGCCCTCACCTCGTCCACCTCCCTCTTAATGGAGTCGAGCGTGATGTTGAAGAGCACTTTGAGGATTTCCATGGCGCGCTCCGTCTCCTGGGGAGGAAGGCGCTCCGGGGTGCTCTCGTCGGGAGTCAGCCCCAGCGTCAGCTCCAGCGTGTCGGTCAGCAGGCGCACTCCGTGCAGCTCCTGGAACAGTTGCTGGCGCACGTCGGTGCGCAGCGCCGTCAGCAGGAAGAGCAGCCGCAGGTCGAAGAACTGGACGTCGTGCGGGAAGCTCCTCTTGCGATACAGCTGCACGCGCTCCGCGAGCTTCACCACCAGGCGCGCCTCTGCCGCTAGCACCTGTGCCACGGGGCTGCTGAGCACGAGGTTGCACAGGCACTTGAGGGACTCGAGGACAACATCCATGTCGGAGGGCTCGGGGTCGGGCCCCTGGGCGGCGGAGATACCCGCACAGCAGGCCAGTGCCTGCAGGCTCCGGCGGCTGGTGAACGGGTCCAGGCAGCTGCGGTCCCGGGACAGTATGCGGATGCTCTGCAGCCAAGTGACCGGGCAGGAGGGTGGCAAGCCCCGCTCCAGGACCGAGACCAGCAGCTCCGCCAGCCTCTGTGGGCGGGGAAAAGAGTGGCTCCACCGGGCCCCTCCTCCTGGGCGACCAGCCCCTGCCCCTCCACCCCTGGGGCCCGCACCCACCTTCCTGTCCTCCCGTTGGGCATCATCGAACGTGAAGCTCTGGGAGTGCTGCGGAGAGACCCAGCGGGCTCAGGTCCACCTGGGGGCAGGACCCGAGCTCCGCCGACGGAGCGGCCTGTCTGCCTCCAGCTCCCGCCCCGACCGCTGCACACCTGCTGCCCGGGTGCACCCCCAGACGCTCCGCTTAGCAGCTCGTCCCGGACCCGGCACCCCCACCCCGCCGCGCTCCCGGCGCGCCCTGGCACGGCCCCCCGCGCCTGGGACTCCGCTCACCTCCCTGTTGAACGTCCGCAGAGCGTCCACAATCACGTCCTCCTCCCCCGTCTCCACCGCATCCGCCACCGCCCGGGGCTCCATGGCGCTGCAGGAACGCGGCAGGGGCCCCGGCTGCGCG